TTCATGTTCATCTCTTGTTATAATTTTAGAGGGAAAAAAAAACAAATTATGAAAGCAACCTACATTTTATTCAAATATACATGTTTACAAAATAATTAATACTTGAAACAAAATATTTTATTGACCTTTAAGTACGTTGTTTAAACGTTACGTTATAATCACAGTATAAAAGGACATTTTTCTTAACAGTCAACGTATATTTGTTACGACATACTGTTAAACAAATAGGGATATGTCATCCCATAAAACATTTAAAAAAAAAACATTTAATTGTTCTGTTAGCCCAAATTCACAGATTCCTCTAAGTCACAAGCCATACAAACAATTCGTCAGAAGAATATCTTACCATTTACAATTTTTTAATAAAAACATTAACTATAGATGACTATGTTCTACCTATGGATTTAGACCAGAAAACTTGCAACAAGAAGATAAGATAGTGCAAAGTGTAAGCGTTACAATAGATGTACTTACTCGTCAATCTACTCGTGAGTGATATGTCACTCGTGCGGTAAGACCAGAAGTAAGCTTGAGTGCAGTGTTAGAGACACAAGGCCAACCATAACCAGACTTTAAAACCAGCTCTTTGCGTTTTTACACAAATACATATTGGCTTCGGCACGAATTTGAACCCAGGACTTATGGCATGTACGGCAATCATAGATGTTTATGCAGTTTATAAAGAAACTAACACATGAGTTTGAATTATATAAATTATTAATTATGTGCAACGTTGTCTCTTGCGTATTCACAAAGTTATTAGAGACTTTTAAAAATAACTTAATGGACAGATGAATTGTGAATACGGAATGAATACCGCAAATTAGTAAAACTAAAAAAATATCCATTACAAGTCGTATTAGCCGTAACATGTTCCCTTACCTACAATTATTTTGATACGACTAGATAATACAGTAACTATACAGGTTCTTGTAAAAAACAACAGTATGGAGAAATCTTTAACCGTTAGGAGGTCGAGCAATCTGAGACAGTTCAGACAGACAAATGATAAAAAAAATCCAGATATAAAATCTAAGTACTATTATATCGTTATATAAAAAAAAATTACATTTTTGGTTCTAGCACGAGAATTTAATAAAAACAAAATTAAAAGTATCATGCAAAACGATCGGATTCCACTTTAGAATAGCAGAAGAAGAAGGAACAACCCGAATAGCAGAAGGTAATGTAAATTATATAAAGGTATTATATAATTTTTTTATTGTAAATTTTAATTGTAATATATTCTATTAATTTTCACGAAATATGCACGTTTTACCAAAATATTAATTGCCAATTTTTTCCATAAAAAACGACCTGATGAGGTGTATACAATTTCCTCGTATCTCGTATGGTTTCAGAGTTCCTCAATACAGTTCCACTAAAAAGAAACACTATAACAATAAAAATTAATTTACATTAAATATTATGTATACCTTAGATATACAATTAACTTAATTTATTGAACTGATATAAGGTAGCTGTTTTGTACCAAAGTTTAGTTCAAAATAGGATAAACATTCCTAAATTCAACTGATGAAAATTTTGTACTTCAATACAGTAAAGATATTATCATATTCATATTATAATTATTGTTAATAAACTTTGATCATATACATGTCTAGATTCCACGTCGCTTTATAATAATAATTTTTAAAACTGCCCCACACCCGCGCCAACTGTCTTATTTGTTTGTGTAGGCCCTACACTGTAGGGTATCTAATACTTGGAAACGATGCTCCTGTAGTCGTTTTAAAGTAAAGGCTGTTGGTACATTTGTAATGATCAAATGATTTTTTGAAGTTAAAATTATTGTTTGAGGAAGTAAAAATCAAAATCATAAGGTTTAATTTTTAGGTCTAAGGTTCAAAACACATTTAAAATAAAATGTAATAATTTGTCTTACTTCATTAACACAAAACGGTTTGGTTGGAAGGCTAAGGCTCTGTGACTGTGGCACTGTTTTTGGGACTTTTAGATTGACCTCATCGCAACACTGAAAATATGGCGTTGTTGCTTTATCGAAAAAAATGTTTGTAAAATAAATGTGAATAATTCTATGAGTCTCGTACTGGCGGACGAAGTGTAGTGCGTCCCCCCACTAGTTGGAGTGACGACCTGGTAAGACATGCAGGAAGTCGATAGATGTAGGTGGCTCAGGACCGTGTTTTGTGGCATTCCTTGGGGGAGGCCTATGTTCAGCAGTGGACTTGTGAAAGGCTGTAATGATGATGATGATGAATTCTTAGGTTTTAAGGCACATTTAAGAGAATTTTGATGTTTTATGGGTGGCATGTGCACCCCACTAAACCAAAGTGCCTTGTAGTTTTCACACATATTGATTGCGCAAATTTTCATTTTTGAATATTTTACAAAGAGCTATTCGTGTATTCGCAGCTGTCGTAGTTAACACTAAATGGGCGCGGCTACGTTCCGGCTAACAGTTGTAAGTACTTCTTCGATCGCATTTATCCATCTAGACATGTATATAATCAAAGTTAATAAAAGTACAAAAGAAACAAAAGGTCTTAAATTGTCGTTAACTCACGCAATTATTGCTTGCCGGTGAAGAATAAAAATATTGTATCAAATTAAATTAGTACTTATCAGCCAAAACAGATTTATATTTCTTATAAATGTATTCATTTAAATAAAAATTAACTATCCTCTTTTTTAAATAAAAGTGTTTATTATATAGTGTGCAGTATAGATGTTGTACTAAAATAATAAATGAGAAACACGACAAAACATTTCTCTGTTATCTGTTATAATAATAATAATAAGCCTTTTATTTCATGCTAAAAAATGAGATACATACATAGTTTATAGTTTAACGAAAAAAGCAAAAAGAAAAAAAAAGTTATCTGTTAATTGTAATTTAATCTTGTCTAAGTTGTGCAACTGTCCGACCACCCCGCGGTATGAGTGATCCATGCCGGATGTGCCGTTCTTCTTGGACATCCACAAGTCGAGTGGGCCTGACGGAATCCCCCAATTATGCTGAGGACGTGTGCTCCGGAGTTGGCACCGGTTCTAACGTGTTTTTTCCGGTACTCCTACTCCCTGGACGTTGTCCCGAATTCAGGAAAGATAGCTTTCGAGCACCCGATACCTAAAAAGGCGACCGCTTAGACCCGCCAGTTTATAATGGAATCCATTGTAAACTGCCAGCTTATGCGGTACCTTGAGGATCAGCAGCTGATTAGTGACCGCCAATATGGTTTTCGTCGGGGTCTATAAGTTGGTCTACCTGATTCATAGATTGGCGGTGGCAGTAGAGTCCAAGGGGGAGGCACTAGCCGTTAGTTTGGATATTGCGAAGGCCTTCGATCGGGTTTGGCACAAGGCGCTTCTTTGGAAGCTCCCTTCCTATGGGCTTCCCGAGAAATTGTGCAATTGGATCACCAGCTTTCTTGCACATCGGAGCATCAAGGTCGTTGTAGACGGTGCATGCTCCGACTACAAGCCTATTAACGCTGGTGTTCCACAAGGCTGTGTGCTATCACCAACGCTGTTTCTTCTGCATATCAATGATATGTTGCGAAGCGGTAACATTCATTGCTATACGGATGTCAGCACTGGTGATGCTCTATACACCGGCCGTGTACAATATTTCTCGGGAAAACGTCGCCGAGTACCGGAATAAACTTGTGTCTGAAGTCGAGTCTTTGGTGAACGAAGTCTCAGATTGGGGGCGACTATAATTCAGTTTAATCCTCAGAAGACACAAATCGGTGCGTTTACCGCTAAAAAGAAGCCCTTTGTCATATCTCCTCAGTTTCAAGGCACTCCCCTTGTTACCTCAGCCAGTATCGGAATCCTCGGCGTCTACATATCGAGTGACGTGGAGTTTCATGGTCACTTGGAAGAGAAGGCCAAATTGGCCTCTAAAAAGCATGGCGTGCTTAGCAGGGCGGGACAGTATTTCATGCCGGCACACCGCCTGCAACTTTACAAGGCGCAGGTTCGGCCTCACATGGAATACTGTTCCCATCTCTGGGCTGGTGCTCCCCAGTGTACCTCGTGCTTCCACTTGACCGCATCCAGCGCAGAGCGGCTCGAATCGTCGACGACCGAGTCGTTTCCGATTGGCTCGATTCACTGGCGCTGCGAAGACATGTTGCATCCCTTTGCATTTTCTTTCACATTTACTACGGGGAGTGCTCTGAGGAATTGTTCGGATTAATGCTAGCCGCCGAATTTCACGAACGCACATCGGCATCACGCGGCAAAACTCCCGATACCATTCACACCATCTGGATGCTTGGCGGTCCACCACTGTACGTTTCACTAGGAGTTTTCTTCCACATACGACCTCTCTGTGGAATATTTACCACTGGCGACTTTTCCTGACCAATACGACTTAGAAGACCTTCAAGAAAAGAGCTTATTCCTTTTTAAAAGGCCGGCAACGCACCTGCAATTCCTTGGTGTTGCAGTTGTTCATGGGGTCGGCGATAGTCACTTACCATCAGGTGAGCCGTATGCTCGATTGCCCACTCTCCTATAAAAAACTGAATTTTTAAAAACGTGCAAGAAAAAACTAGAAAGTTATACCTTTTTTATTTAGTAAATCCACATTTAGACAGTAGAAATGATAATACTAAACCTTTGTTTTTAATTCGAATGTTAACTTTATTCATTAATATTATGTATAAACATATTACAATATTTGATGTTCTACTAAAATATAAAATAATATTAGAATACAATACACAGGCACATGTGATTTTAGAACACGCCACCTCTTAAAAGTATTATTGTAATACATTTTTGTACGTAACTAAATAAGATGGCAAACGTCTCTCTTGATTTTTTTCATTTAAGGACTTCCTTTTTCTAAAGGCTCGTTCGTGATAATTTTAATCTTTTTTACTTATATACCAGTAGACTATGCGATATTTACTTACACTATTAATCCTTACGCTTTCAATGTTTTTCTTATTTAGGCTGTTGCAAACTAGGATCAATTTGGTAATTTAATGCTTTATAAAGCTGTACTATGTTTTAATCTTACGAGAAACTTTGTGTCCATTTTTCTTCCAGCCGTTTCCTTGCAACGCTTCGCCATTAGTTGCGCGACTTGCAAACGTTGTGGTTTTGCTTTTTGTCTCATACAATACGTCCGAATCGGCCTCAGATTCTGATTCAACTTTGGCGGTGACTGTAATAAAAAAAAATATATTTGTATGTCATTTATTTTAAAGAACAAGTTTTTTTTATAGGACGAGGGTAAGGGTAACAAACAAGTACACAGTCCACCTGATAGTAAGTAGTTGCTGTGGCCCATAGACATCTATGTACATCTATCCTCGATTAATCAAAATGCAGATGCCGTTTGTCATCCGTGAAGACTAAGATGGAATGCCTCGTTTCAGCATCGTTGAGCTGCTGTTTTATGCTAGTATTCTGACTATGCTGCAGCTATATTAGTAGTATATGACAACTTTACTACTAATATAGCTGAAGCATGGCTCTACCAAAAAAAAACGTAAAAGGTAAAAACTTTAATATTTAATCGGACGGTAATAGTAAGTGCCATAACAGATTTCCTATACCTATGAGCTGTAAACATCTGGTTAGGAGTTGGTATTATTTATAAGCTGTGGCCGATTTTGGTGTGGATTGTCGAGATATAGTTTTTAACAAATTTCTCCGGTCAGGTCCTGGACACTTAGTTACCATCAGTTGGGTAGCATGCTCAGTTGCTCCCTTTTCTACAAAAAAATACGGTTGTGTACTTATAGAGCTCGTCTTGCATCAATTACTCACGGATTGACAAAAATATCGTATTTTAGAAACGCTTTTGACGGTCGAAAATTGATATTACTTGAAATAGTATATGCTTGGAAAAAATATGCAGATACATGAAATACTTAATTCTTCCGCCCGGACCGCCGTAAGGTGCTAATGTGAACAGTCTCCGTGAAAATAATCAGCAAAGAAAAATAGGAGCGCAGAATCAAGGAGAAGTTATTTTGCTAATTATCTACTGCGCAACGCTTTTGCCTTGCTACTTTCAAACTCGTCACCAACTAGAGGTCCTGTGAAATTATGTTGTTTATTGTTCAATCAGTACACTCGCAGGAATGCCATTTTTTGTCTTACACACATAAGTAAGGGGTGGAGACTCCTGACTTATATTGGTTTGAATCAACGCATAGGCGTGACCCAACCTGTCCACTAGTGTTGGTGCTCTACCGACCTAAAATTAAAAATCTCTCACAACGTATTATTCCCTGGTATTATTTATTAAACGCACGCACCCTGAGGACTGACGAGAAGATCGTGGAGCTGGAAGAAGAGATAGACAAGATGCGCTGGCATATTATAGGATTATCCGAAGTCCGAAGAGAGGGGGAGGACACGGTAATCCTCGAATCCGGCAACTTGCTCTATCACCGGGAGGGCGACCATCTGTCCCAAGGAGGTGTCGGATTTATCGTCCACAAGTCTCTCGTTAACAACGTTGTAAAGATCGGGAGTGTGTCGACGAGGGTTGCGTACCTTATACTCAATCACCAAACGGTATTCGCTGAAGGTCATACAGGTTTACGCACCAACCTCGGCACACCCCGATGAGGAGGTGGAGGAAATGTATGAGGATATCTCTAGAGCCATGCATTCCTCCAAAACCCAATATACGGTGTTAATGGGAGACTTCAATGCAAAACTAGGCACAAGAGAGAACGGTGAGCTGAAAGTAGGGAAATTTGGAATAGGGCAACGGAACCCAAGGGGCCAGCAGCTGGCCGACTTCATGGAGAAAGAGGGACTCTTTATGATGAACTCTTTCTTCCAGAAGCGGCCCCACAGGAAGTGGACCTGGTCGAGCCCCGACGGTGCGACAAAAAATGAGATTGACTTCATTATGACGACCAGACGACAACTGTTCAGTGATGTCTCCGTGATCGCGAGGGTGAAAACTGGTAGCGATCACCGAATGGTTAGAGGCACACTGAACCTAAACGTTAAGTTGGAGAGGTCTCGTCTAATGAAGTCAACGCTCCGTCCCCCTCGTGCTCTAATCCAAAGTCCCGAAACCTTTCAGTTCGAGTTACAAAACCGTTTTCAGTGCCTAGAAGACTGCAATGAAGTGGACGATATCAATGACAAGCTCGTGGAAACTGTCCATGCGGTCGGAGCTAAGTTCTGCAAGACCCGCCGCAGAAGAACACAAAAACACTCCGATCACACTCTTAATCTCATGGCTGTTAGACGGGAGATGAAGCTACATTCTTCAACAGACTTGACAGCATACAGTCATCTGAACAGACAGATCTCCAAATGCATGCGGCGGGACTTACGCAACTTCAATACAGCTCGTATTGAAGAAGCGATCGAGCGGAACCAAGGCTCCAAAGTCTTTGCCAGGGATCTGTCTGCCAGAAAGAGCCAACTGTCAAAGCTGAAGACAGAATGTGGCAGCATCGTTTCCGGGACACCTGAGATTTTGAGTGAGATTGAGAGGTTCTATGGGCAGCTGTACACGTCATCGTTGGTGCCACACGCAAGTGTGAGTAACGATCCAAGAGCGAGTCTCATCCGACACTATTCCGAAGATATCCCGGACGTCAGTCTGAGCGAGATTAGAATGGCTCTCCAGCACCTTAAAAACGGCGAGGATGGAATTACAGCGGAGCTTCTGAAAGCGGGTGGAAAACCGGTACTTGAAGTCCTTCAGAAGCTCTTTAATTCCGTCCTCCATGGTGGCATTACACCGGAGGCGTGGAGCAGAAGTGCGGTGGTCTTGTTCTTCAAGAAAGGTGACAACGCTCTCTTGAAGAACTACAGACCGATTTCCCTTCTGAGCCGCGTCTACGTGCTGTTTTCGAGAGTCATTACGAATCGTCTCGCGCGCAGACTTGACGACTTCCAGCCTCCCGAACAAGCCGGTTTCCGAAAGGCCTTTAGCACCATATACCACATACATACCCTTCGGCAAATTGTACAGAAGTCCGAAGAGTACAATTTGCCACTATGTCTGGCATATGTGGACTATGAGAAAGTCTTTGATTCCGTCGAAATTTGGGCGGTGCTGCAGTCCCTTCAGCGGTGCCAAGTTGACTGTCGGTATATCGAAGTGTTGAAATGCTTGTACAGTAGGGCTACGATGGCTATCCGAGTACAGAACCAGAGTACGAAACCTATCCAATTGCAGAGAGGTGTAAGACAGGGTGACGTCAAATCCCCGAAACTCTTCACCGCTGCATTGGAAGACGTTTTCAAGCTTCTGGACTGGAAAGGATACGGTATCAACATCAATGGCGAGTACATCACTCACCTTCGATTTGCCGACGATATAGTCCTTATGGCAGAATCGCTGGAGGACCTAAGCAATATGCTCAATGACCTCAATAGTGCTTCCCAACAGATAGGTCTTAAGATGAACATGGACAAAACTAAGATCATGTTTAATGTCCATGTCACATCTATGCCGGTAGTTGTTGGGAACACTAAGCTCGAAGTTGTTGACGAGTATGTTTACCTGGGACAAATAGTCCGACTAGGTAAGTCCAACTTCGACCGAGAGGTCAATCGACGGATTCAACTCGGTTGGGCAGCGTTCGGGAAATTACGGCACATCTTCTCGTCAGGTATACCTCAAACCTTGAAAACGAGACTGTACACCCAGTGCGTGTTCCCAGTGATGACATACGGAACTGAGACGTGGTCCTTCACTGCTGGCCGGATGAGGAAGCTCAAGGTCGCTCAGCGAGCTATGGAGAGGGCTATGCTCGGAGTTTCTCTGCGTGATAAACTTAGGAATGAGGATATCCGCAGTAGAACCAGAGTAACCGACATAGCCCAACGGATTAGTAAGCTGAAGTGGCAATGGGCCGGCCATATAGCTCGAAGAACCGACAACCGATGGGGAAGAAAGGTTCTCGAGTGGCAGCCTCGTACCGGTAGGCGAAGTGTAGGGCGTCCCCCCACGAGATGGAGTGACGACCTGGTAAGACATGCAGGAAGTCGATGGATGCAGGTGGCTCAGGACCGTGCTTTGTGGCATTCTTTGGGGGAGGCCTATGTTCAGCAGTGGACTTGTGAAGGGCTATAATGATGATGATGATGATTATTTATTTATTTATTTATTTATTTATTAAGGACAGCCAACAAATCTTACACCAAAAACATTAAATTCTTAAGCTATCATCTAAGATTTAAGCTAAGTGTAGATTCAATTACAGGCTGCCACGACTTGCAAATGTGAGTGTTTAATGTTTATTAAAAAGTAATAAAATATTTAAAAAAAACTAAGAAAACTAAACTAATTCAAAATTATTCCGTACTCAAAATTGCACCCAGAACTAACTTTTTGAATTTAGAGAGGCTATTTGAAAAAATGTCTACGTCCGTTTTTTCCTGGAGTTCATTGTATTGTCGTTGCAGCCTGCTCATGATCGCGTGATGGTCGAGATTGCTTTTGGATCCCTTGGTAGAAAATGGTGTGTATTTCCCTTTTCGCGAGATTTTATAGGGTATATTAAACCGAAGCTGTTCCAACAATCCGGGGCAATCCAGACCACCTCTTACAATTTTATATAGAAACAAGTGATCTAATATAAGCCTCCTATTTTATAAGCTTTTCATTTTGAATTTTGAAAGTCTATCAACGTACGAAGGCAACTGCTTATGCTTAGCTAGACCGGATTGAAATGAGACATGCCATAAAAATCTTTTCTGCACACGTTCTAGTCGCTTAACATATACTTCGTAGTGTGGTGATCAAACCGGGCTGCAATATTCCGAAATCGAACGAACGTATGCGTTATATAATAAAGTTTTAGTGGCTAGTTTTAGCTCTTTACTTTAGTTACGAATTACGAAACCTAGCATTTTGAAGGCCCTAGATGTCTTCAATGTGTTTGTGAAATCGAAGTTTTTTATCCAAAATAACGCCTAGGTCCCGGATAGAATTTACCTCTTTGTTGTTTTCCATTGATGTCGTATGAAGGCGATGCTTGCAACCTGTGCCGTGAGAATCTAATAAAATTACATTTATCAACATTTAGTTCCTTAGTTCAGTTAGGTTTTGATCGACCCAGATGGCTAGATTATCAACATAACGATGAACGATGAAGAAGCATAACATCAGTGGCTGAGTTGATTTCTCTACAAATTTTTAAGTCATCTACAAAAAGATACACCTTTGAGTATTTT